TTTCCAAGCACCATTTATTAAACAAACTGTCCATGTTCCATTGCATAGTCTTTGCTCCTTTGTCAAAGATTAGTTGTCCATATAAGTGTGGCTCTGTTTTAGGGCTCTCTATTTGGTTCCATTGGTAAATGTGTCTTTATTAAATTTTTACTACCTTTGATAGCTTTTTTCCTACATGTTTCATTTGTTTTGGTGTAATTGTAATGGGATGACTTCCTTAATATCTTCTTCTTCTCATTGTTTGTGTGTATGAAGCTAACTCATTTCTTCTGTTGATATTTAAAAAATATTTATTTATTTATACAAGAACTGGGGTACAGGCCAGATGTGCGGGAGGGTGAGAGGATTCACCAGAGACAGAGTGGGGAACAGAACAGGAGACTGATGAAATACACTGCTGAGGGGAGCAGTGGGTGAGGCAGGAAAGGTCTACAGTGCCATGTGGGACCCTCGCCGGCTGGCTGGGTTTGAACTGGCACTTCAGAGGCTGCGGACAGCTTCATAGCGCTGCACTCAACTGACTGTGCCACCAGGGGAGGCCCTTTCTTCTGTTGATTTTATACCCTGCCACTTTGATAAACTGATTATTTTGATTAGTTTTTCCATGGAATCCCTAGGCGTCTTTGTATGTTATGATGTTATCTGCAAATAATGATAGCTTTACTTCTTTTTTCCTAATTTAGATTCCCTTTATGTCTTTCTCTTGCTTATTATTCTAGCTAGAACTTCCAATCGTATGTTACATAGCAGTGGTGATAATGGACATCCTTGTCTTGTACAAGATCTTTGTTGAAAATTTTACCTTTTTTTTTTTTTTACCATTGAGTATGATACTAGCTTTGTGTTTGTTGTAAATAGCATTTATTATGTTAAGGTGTGTTCTGTTTAGCCACAGTTTTTCAAGGATTTTCTTCATAAATGGATGTTGAATTTTATCAAATACATTTTCAGCATCTATTGGTATGATCATGTGGTTTTTATCTTTTTTGGATGTGATGAACTATATCATTGATTCTCAAATGTCAAAACATCCTTTTGTACCTGGTATGGATCCTGTTTAGTCATGGTATATGATCCTTTTAATGCATCCTTGGATTCAGTTTGCTAGGATTTTATTAAGGATTTTTGCATCTGTATTCATTGGTAGATTCGTCTGTAGTTTTCTTTTTTGATGGCTGTCCTACCTCTTTTTTTGAGTTCCATATGCTTGTAGAATTTTTTTCAACACTTTACTTTGAGTCTGTTTGTGTTTGGAGTTTAGGTGTATGTCCTGGAGTCAGCAGAAGTTTGGATTCTGTTTCATGATCCTACTATATATTTGTGTCTTTTAATTAATGTGTTCAATCCATTTACATGCAAAGTGATTATTGATATGTAATAATGTGTTGCTGTCATTTCATGCTTAATTATTTGGTTGAATTTGTTTCTTTATTCAGTTCTTTGTGTATTTCTCTCTCTTCCATTTAGATGTGTAAGTTTCTTTCAGTATTTCTTTGAGGTTGCTTTAGTGTTTGCAGACTTCTTGAGTTTCTCTATTTGTTAAAAGGCCCTTATTATTCCTCCCTCATATCTGAAGGAAAGTCTTGCAGAATAAAGTATTCTCTGCTAAACTCCTTAAGTATTTAAGTATTTAATAAACACACCATTTATTTCTGTCTTGCTTGTAGTGTTATTTCAGAGAATTTGATGATAGCTTGACTGGGGTACCATTATATATTATCTACTTCCCCCTTATAAACTTCAATTATTTTATGTCCTAAACTCTTAGAATTTCCATTGCTGTATGTACTTTTGTCAGTCTTGCTTTATTTACATATCTCAGGGTTTTTTAGAATCCTCTATCATTTCTTCAAGTATGTTTTCTGTTCCTTTATCTCTTCTACCTCTGCTAATTCCATTATTCTTATGTTAACTTTTCACATAGTGTTGGATTATTCTTGGAGTGTTTCTATATTATGTGTTTTTTATTTCTTTTCTTTCTTTCCTTCTCTGCCCACATTCTTTGTATACCTGTATTTTCAGTTTATGATTTGTTTTTCTACTTGTTGTAGTCCACTTATATGATTTTGCCTGAATTTTTCATCTCCTGTATTTCTGCTTTTAAATCCAAAACTCCATTTGTTTTACTTAGAGCTTCATTTTCTGTCTTCAGAAAATGGTTTAATTTCTAAGGACAGTCATTTGTTTTTCTGAATGTTCTTGATGTTCTTCCATTTCTGTCAGCTTCTTTATAATTGCAATTCTAAACTATGTATCTGATGGGCAGACCATTTCTTCTATATATTTGAATTTGGTTTCTGGAAATTTGTTCTCTCTGTATGTTTTACTATTCCCCCCTTTTTTTTTTCTTCTATCCTTTACTAGCTTTAGAACCCATCTGCTATATATGGAGTTTTCTCTGGCACTTTCTCACTCACCAGTTTTAGGGGGGGTTTATCTGTATGATTATGTATCTGGAAGGGTCTCAGAGGAGGTTTTGAGGCCTCTTCCATCTGGGTGGGAACTGATGTATCTCATGAGAGGTCACAAGGCCCTGGCCACTCTGACATCTGCCCTGGTGTAAGTCCAGGGTCTTTACTGGCCGGCATGTGCTTTGGTGGGGTCTTGTGGAAGTCACATGGTATGAGTTAGTATCATGTGGTTTTGGTTTGCATTTCACTGATAATTAGTGATGATGAGTACTTTTCATGTGCCTGTTTGTCATCTAATATGTTTTCTTTGTGAAAAAATGTGTATTTAGCTTTTCTGAATATTTTTGGACTGGATTATTAGTTTTCTTTATTATTAGTTTTTTTAGTGGAGTCCTTACAGTTTTCTATGTATATTGTGATGGTATCTGCAAATCGTTATAGTTTTAGTTTTTAGTGGAGTCCTTACAGTTTTCTATGTATATTGTGATGGTATCTGCAAATTGTTATAGTTTTACTTATTTTCCAATTTTTATACCTTTAAAATCTTTCTCTTACCTAATTGGTCTAGTTAGGACTAGAATAATTGGTGTAGTTAGGATTCCAATACCATGGTAGATAGTAGTGATGAAAGTGAATGTCCTTGATGTGTATCCTTTTTAGAGGAAAAAACATCAATTTTTCAACATTGAATTTGATGTTAGCTAAGGGCTAGTCATAACTGACCTTTAATATATTGACTTAGGTTCCCATCTACCCACATGTTTGAATCTTTATATCATAAATTGTTGTGGTATTGTGTCAAATGCTTTCTGTTAAGCTAGTGATACAATCATGGTACTGAGGAAATTGTACTGCCAAATGCAAATGAATATACATAGACCACTGTTTTACCTCATATACAAGAATCAACTAACTGAAACTACAAAATACATAGAAGAAAACATAGGCAAAGCACTCTAGAATATATATATCTATACACACACACACACACACACACACACCAGAAACACTATGTGCTGGGAAAGTTGCAGACACAAAAGAACCCTCTGAAACTGTTGGTGGAAATCTAGACTGGTCTAGCTCTTGTGGAAAGAAGCATGGATATTCCTCAAAAGACCAGAAATGATCTACCATATGATCCAGCTATACCACTCCTGGGTATCTACCCAAAGAACACAGGACACTAATTCAAAAGGAAATATGCACTCTTATGTTTATGGTACCATTTACAATAGCCAAGATATGGAAACAACATCAATGTCCCAGAAAAATTAAGTGTATCAAGAAGATGTGATATGTACACAAACCCACCCACACACAAGCACACACACACTGGAATACAACTAAGCAATCAAAAATAATAAATTCATGCCATTGCAACAACATGGATGAAACTAGATAGTATTATCCTAAATGAAATGAGCCAGAAGGAGAAATATAAATTCCAGAATGTTTCACTTATGTGTGAAATACAGAGAAACCATACAATGTATCAGACAAAGACAGACTTTGAAAGTGACCCTTGAGAGTTATTTGATCATAGATATGTGGCATTCAGAACAGGAGGACAAGAGGAAGGGATTGAGGAGGTGACCACACCTGAGGAAGAAATAAACTGTATTCTGAAAAAATAAACTCAAGTGGGTAAAATAATGGTATGCCGTTAATAAAAAATAGAGAACACATAAGATTTAATGATTTATTTTATTTTAGAATGACAGAAAATATGATCAAAATGAGTGATCAAAATCATGATCAAAATATGATCAAAATATGATTAAAATGAGTTGTTATTATTTTAAACTCTCCTACCTTTTATGTCTTGTTTATGGAGAAACTGAAAATAAACATGGTTAGGGACTAATTTGTGTGTATTAATTTTACATAAATAAATAAACCAAAGAGTAAACACCTATGGTTTCAGATCATAGGAGATGTGAGCTTTCAGTTCTGTTACTGTATTGATTGCATAATCCTCTATTAATCAGCAAAGGTGGTTTTATTTAGTCCTGATTAAAAAAAAAATATAATCCCCATACTTTTCCATTTGTTTGAAGATCTAGTAAAACTACTGATCATTTCAGTTTATATTCAGTTGAGATCTTTCTATAACTGTTGGAATGTTTAGTGGATTAATGGTACAAAATTTTTTGGCTTAGTTCCATAAGAAATGGGTACTTTTCAGACACATTCTGTGTAAATTTACCTATTAAAAAGTTTTATTTTTATTCTTGTTTAATTTATTTTTTTAAAGATTTATTTATTTAGTTATACAAGCACTGGGTACACTGGGTACAGTCAGAAGTGCGGGAGGGTGAGAGAATTCACCAGAGCCAGAGCAGGGAGCAGAACAGGCAGAAGGACAAAGTACACTGCTGAGGGGAGCAGCGGGTGGCAGGAGAGGTCTGCGCACCATGTAGGACCCTTGCCGGCGACCGGGGATCGAACCTGTGCTTTAGAGGCTGCGGGCAGCTTCGCAACCCAGTGCTCAACTGCTGCGCCACTGGGGAGACCATATTTTTATGTTTTATACTCTTATTTAAATTGATTTCAATTTCTGCCCTTTTCTTTTCCCTAATTTACTTTCAGAGGGCTCCTGAAGTATCAGGTTAACTTAGATACCCACCCTCCTGGCTGCATACATCTTAATGGAACCCGCTACCAGAATATTCATTCATCAGAGAATCTCTCAGAACATTTTCATGAATCTTACCCTGGAGGATTTTCAAAAGCAGATGAACTTAACCAGAACACATTTGTGAAGATTTGTATGGAAGAACCCATGTTCCAAGCTAACTTTCCACAGGTCAGATTAATTCTTCATTTTTTGATAGTCTGTGCAAGATGTATATTCCCATAACAATACATCAACATTTCTTTTAAGAATGATTTTGAAGTTATGTAATACAGTTATTGGGAAACAGAATATTTTAGGATGTTTCAATAACAAGTCAGTGCCTAGTGCTGACATGTAATGTGGCAGAGCATAGGCAATTTTTGCTTAGCCCATGTTCTTTCTATATAGTAGCACTGGTTAGTGCCATAGAGAGATGACAATTTTTTTTCTCACTTATTGAGAAAAATACATTAATAGAACCAATAATAAAAAACTAATTATATCATTAGATATTATGATATAATATATGTAAGTTTATAAATGATAAATTATAAAATCAATTCACTGATGCTTAATGCTACCTTCTGGCCACTGTGCTAAATATACTGTATTCATGGCTTCTTTAAATATTTACAATTACTCTCTGAGACAATTATTATCCTTGATTTTCTGATATGGAAATTGTGGCTTAAATACATTAAATATTTTAAGTTGTATGAATTAAATACATGGTTGAAGTAGAATATAAAACCATGTCTTTGACTAAAATGCTTGCTGTTGGAAATATTTTTTCCCAAAAACCCCCAGTGAGGAGTTTGATGACAGCCCCGATCTCACCTTGTGGCTTTGGGAGCTGCAGCTGCTGAAATGGGAATTACACAGTGTACTCTATCTATAGCAGGGAAGTGGTGAATAGTGATGTTGAATGTTTTATGAAGAGAAGAAAGAGGAGCCTAAAGGTAGAGTGAATTTGTAGATGACTTAACATGAGTGTTTTAGTGTTGTGTTTAGCAATAACCCTTTAGATATCTGTTGGTCAATTTTTAGAAATTATCTGGGCTTCACTCAGTGCTATATGTTAGCCAGAGCAGATATTTGAACTCCTGTGTTACTTATGTAGCACCTGAAACTTTAAAGGTATGTGATTTTCCCTAAAGCTGGCAGCATGCTGCATCTCCATATTCATGTTGCAGTCCCAACTCTTCACAGAGAATCTACTGTCTGTGAGGAAAAAATATAATCTGTTTGCCTGAGTATAAAGTTTAAAAAGTGGCTATTAAAATAAATTTGGGTTGGATGCTTTCAAGCAATTGAGGGAACTATAATGGGAGTTGTAGGTCAGCCTCACAAACTTCCTCATTTTCCAGAGTATGCAGTTATCCTAATATCAGGCCATCCTTTTAGCACATGTGTACAATTTTTATGGTTTCCAAATTCTAAATATTATTTTCTGTTTTCATGTAATATAAAACAAAGTTGTATACAATATTTTTTATACCCTGTATTTAAAAATATGTACGTAATTTACACTATGAATACATTATATACTATAATGTATCATTTATTATACATTATATATTATATATGTACATTATGTATATACACTACATTATTTCCATTAAAATATCAAGGATTTTCTTTTTAATAAACATTAGATTGGTCCATTTTTGCTAAAATCATCTTCAGATTTATTTGAGCTTTTAACTTCCCTTTATTCTCTCTTCAGAGAAGTACTTTGTGCTATACATTATATATTTGTTTCATGCACAAAATATATGAAACAATGTGTGTTTACCTGTTAATGTAGTTATTTGGGGCAATGGTTTGAGGGTAGAATGTTGACATTATTTTCTGTTGTTTTGTATTTTAGAGATGTTTGAATGTATTGCAGTGAGCACCTCCTAATTTTCATTCATTTTCCTTACATTTTATCATTTAAAGTACAGACTAAATTTTTATTTCTGTACTGCGTAAAATAAGCAATTGGGCAGGATATATACTTTTGTACAAATTTATATTTCCAAGTATTTCTTAAAGTGTGTTTCAAAAATTCTTCATAGACTTGGCTTTGGATTTCTGGCCCTTTGTGCCTGTATTGTGCTGAGAGACTTTATAGGTGCATCCGGAGCAATAAACCAGTCACCATCATCTCAGTAATAAGTCATCCCTCAGATGTCATGGAAATCCAAATGGTCAAAGAAAATTTTAAAGCAAGACCTGGCCAGGTGAGTCAGAATTCAGCAACTTTAGAAAAACCTTTTATTCTTATTATTTTTCAAAATTACTAGACAGTATCATTGTGATATTTGGGCTTCTTCCTTGGTCATTTAAAAAAATTATGTTTGTTGCTTTTTAGTATATTATTCTACATTGCCCAAGTGTGTCCGCATTAGAAAATCATCCATTTACCTTGACAATGGTAAGAAATGCTTTTGATTTCTAAATGTTTTAAAGAGAACTAAATCTCTTCTTTATTTTGTGTATTACTCTTCATTCTAAAAATATTCAAGACTATCACGGTATTTTAAATGTTTAAGTAAGCCTTCTTTCATAAATAAATGAGCATCTGTTTAGAAGCTTTATAACTTATATTTATTATTTTTTGACACTTTGAAATTCAGGAAACAATATATGTATAATTTTTAAGTGTGTTGATTCAATGTATAAATTTTCCTGGATATTGCAATTTTCCTTTCATGAAGTATGCAACTAATACACATATGTGTATGTTTTCTTTAGAGATTGAATTTATTTAAAAAAAGGAGGGTACATTGGATTGAGATGGGAGTATTAGAAAAAAAAGTAAACATCGAGTATAATTGGCACTCAGGCTGTGTATGGGGGAGGGAAAGGAAAATAAATTTGAGAATATGAAATGAAAAAATAGTGAGGGTTTTAGATATAGCTAAATAATGGTGTCACTAACAATTATTTATAAATACATAGGATATGATAGAAACTTACCTTATTTTCCCCCACTTCTCAATATTTTCTTCAGAGTTTGACATTTATTCTTCCAGATTATTCATGTATACTTTAACATATATAGATATTGGATATTTGTTTGCTGACTGATTTACTTTATACTTTCCTCTATTCATTCAGCAATATATTATGAAAAACTTTCACATCTATATTTTTATATGCTGTATTCTTTTAGTGACTGTATAATATCTCACAATAGGAAAGATCTGTAATTTATTTAATATTATGTATTGATGATGGAGCTTAATATTTTACATAGTTACTAACAATGGTAACAAAACAGAAACCAAATGTTTAAGTATATACTTATGATATGCAAATAAAATTGAACAGATTATGATGAAAGTATAGAAATAATTACATATCAAAGTGCTGAGATAAAGGATGAAATTGCACTAGGATTGGGAACCACTTTCCAATCTAATCTATTAGTCAGGTTAGAAACTTGGTAACCTTGGCCTTATTACTTCATTTTTTTTTGCCTATTTCCTCAGTATAATATTGTGATTCAAAGAAATACCTGTTCATGAATATGTTGTGAATTTAGATGAACTACTAGAAGTAAACATGTAGAATAAAGCCTGAAGCATGGAAAGTGTCAAGTGCATATTAATATATATTAACATTTGGTATGGTTTTTCTTTCTTTTTTAAGATTTTATTTATTCATGCATACAAGAGCTGGGGTGCAGGCCAGAGATGTGAGGGGTGAGAGGATTCACCAGAGACAGAGGGGGGGACATAACAGGCAGACAGACCAAAACACACTGCTGAGGGAAGCGCGGGCGAGACAGGAGAGGTCTGCCGTGCCATGTGGGCCACCTCCCTAGCTGGGGATTGAACTTTTGCTTCAGTGGCTTCAAATTGCCCCACAGTGCTGTGTCTTAACCCCTTATAGCACCAGGGAGGCCCCTATGATTTTTATTTTAAGTGTGAGTTTGCTCCTTGATAATGTGTACTTGTAAAAACAGGCCAACCTCAATCTATAATTAAGGAATAGAGGAAACATGTCAAATGATTAAAAAATATCAGAAGTTATTTATTCAGTTGTATTTCTTTAAAGAAAAGAATATGTTTGCTTCATTTGCTCCAAATTTTACATTCTGTTTATATGTAGCAGATTTATTTATCAATTATTAAGAAAAGGTGGTGTGGGATATAGCACAATGATTAACAACTTTCCGTTTTAATAATAAAGATTGCAAGTCTGAGCTGATATGAGACAGATTAATTTATAGCTATTTCTCCAGCACTGATAATAGACAAGAATAGTCCAGACCCCCATTTCATCTAGTGCCATGTGGGAGCTGCTAAAGTAAAGGGGAGATGAGTTGTCATGAGTAGCTCTCATGGGATGTAAAATAGAGACATCATGTTTGAGGACACAGCTGTCATTAGAGCCAAGGAGACCCATTGTGCTCTTACTCCTTCATCTGGTTTTATGAGGTTGCTCTTAGTCTAAGAAATCAACAGGGTGCTTGGCGAGTAAATCTGGTTAACAAAACTTTGGGTATGGGGTTTCCACTGGGTCATGGAGCCCTTTGATCTTGACTTTGCATGTTTGTTTTGTGTGGTATGTGTCCTTATTTTAAGCATTATTTTTGTTTGTTTTGATTATATCCTATTAAAACTCAATTCAAGAATTATTTTTTTAAATACTACCTCATAGATATTTTCAATTGTAAAATAGTTGACTTCCAAAAGAAATTTTAAGACAAAATTATTTTCATGAGGCCATCCATGTGCCACATAACTTGTATAGGCTTAGGAAATGATATGTGCACTTTCTGGATTTTGGGATTTACCAGCTAACTCACTCATATTGTGGTCTAATGGTGTCTCTGTTTCATTATAGAGAAAGAGACAAATCTTGCTGCTGCATAGAATTCAATTTAAGTAGAACAAAAATTTCTAATCTAAATTTTACATTATGCTATTACATTATTTTTTCCTGCCATTTCTCACTTCTTTTGGTCAATTACTTCTATTTAGCACTTCACATAAAATGTATGCTTCTCAGACATATTCACTGGGTAGTTCCCTTAAGAGATTCTTGAAAAGAAACACAGCAAAACAAAATTTCCCATTTGCTTATTCCCAATAAAAGGTATATGTATAAGGGCTCAGGTGTGGGGCAATGTGGGGTGAGGGTGGAATGGCCTTACAATGGAGCAGGCAATGTGTCAGCAGCCAAGTGAGACACTTGGGCTGGACATGGTGGTTTGTGTGACCCAGAGGGCTCTGACAGGCCATGGATGACTGCTTGGGTGCTGTCTTGGGTGCTGACTGGAGCCCTGGGAATGAGACTGCTCTATGCAGCATCTGGAATGGGGGCCTCCCTGCCAACAGTATCAAGAACCAGGCAGAAGCACCTCTTCTTCTGAAACTGACCAGCAGGCAAAGTATTGGAGATAGTTGGTGTGTTTGAGGTGCCAAATCAGCTTGGAATATATGAGACTGAGCAACTTTTCCTTAGAGCTCTTGGCTACTTATCTGTCATCCTGTTTCCCTGGCAGGTCAGGATATATGACTGAGGTGTGGCATCTGCAGCTCTTGAAAAAGCAGAGAACTCTGTTCCAAGTAGCAGTCCTTAGAGCCCAGGGCTCCAAGGAAGTGAAAGAAAAAAAAAAAATCTCACTCTTACTATTAGGTGTTGGTTGTTGCCTGAGACTCAAAGATCTCAGACTTTCTTAGCTAACCATGATAACAGTTGGGACCTGGTGTTATCTGAGGCTTTGACTATGTAAGCCATGAAGACATCCTCCCCTATACCTCCACTTATCAAGTCCTCATCCTGCATGAGTTCTTTGAAAGATTTCTTCTATATAAATGGACAAAAGCACCCCCTTTTTTTGTTTGGCGAACAGTACGAGCTTGGCAAGAGAAGACTCCCCTCTGGCTGAAATTCTGATATCCACTGGAAAAAACTGAGAACATTTGTGTTACCATCTTCCCCTGGTACGTGGGTGTGATAGAAGCCCAGAATTCTCATGTCTTCTAGAGGTGTTAATTTGTTCACTTCAACAGTGACTTAAAACAGCTCTAGGGGCCTCCCTGGTGGTGCAAAGGGTTAAGCACCACACTATGAAGCAATCTGCAGCCTCTGCAACACAAGTTCTATCCCCGGTCGGCCAGAGAACGACCAATATGGTGCAGCAGACCTCGCCTATTTTGCCCACTGCTCCCCTCAGCAGTGTATTTCATCAGTCTGCCTGTTCTGTTCCCCACTCTGTCTCTGGACATGGTGGTTTGTGTATCCCAGCTCTTGTATGCATAAATAAATAAATCTTAAAAAAAAGAAAACCTTAAAAATCAAAAACAACAACAACAACAAAAAAAAAACAGCTCCAGGAGTGAAAGTAGAAGATATTCCGTCTAGTCAGCACTTTGGAGAGAGTGTGAGGACTAAGGATATGGTCAGAGAGCCATTGTTACCCAAGAAATAGCCCACAATCCTATAAAGCAGCCATGTCTCCCTGAAAGGTTCCAGTGGGAACAAGAAGGGCATATTCTGCTTTTAAGGGCTGATGGCTTCCACTTTGATGTACAGATCCCTCCCTTCTCCGAGGAAAACAATAAAGATGAGAAAATACCATATTTGGACTTCACTGCTAGGCCAGTTAAGACCCTGAGTACCCAGGCTTGCCCCCAAAATACAGCTCTCATTCCTCACTGGCTACAGAACTCTGTCTCCATCATGAGCCACAATATGACTCTTAATTATTTGTACCTTTTGATTGTAGCATTTGCTTTTGGGAAGGTCATGTGTAACTTTTTTCCAGAAGATCCGTGTAGGACTCCTCCAAGGCTGGCCTCCCCCAAAGCCCTGCTTAACTCTATTCTATCAACCTGTGCACCAGGAATTTTGTGTTCAGCTGCCAAAGGCTGGAGGAGTTTCCTGTTCTGACACACAGTTGCTTGGAGTGTGAAATTTGGACAACAAACTAGTGCATGCCTGGCCACCCCAGACATTTTTTGCTCCCAGGGCTTCAGGCTCTGTATTTGATCTGATGGGGACCTTTGATTGATTTCCTTGATGCCTCACATCAAGTAAACTGCCCCTTCTACTGGGCATATACCGTTTCCCTCCAGAAGCTGGTAGTTGGCTGTATATATCCCAGGGTCACAGGGTCTACACCAGTGTGTGTGGGGGGGGGCAGGTTGGACTCTTGTCTCTTCATCTCTCTTTGCCAAATGAAGAGTAGAAGACCAGCATCAGGATAGAAGTAGTGGCCATGTTCTTAGTGCTGGCCAACCACTGAGATTTCTGTATTCTCTGGGCAAGTCAGATATTCTGGAGAAGTGAGCTTGGCGCCAAATCTGTAAAGTATCCAGACAACAAATGGAGAATCTTAATCAGTGAAGACAATGAAACTAAGCTATTTAATTAACATCATGAAGCATTTCAAGAGCCAGAGATGAAGGAATCCTAATT